TTCTATTTCCTAAAAAAAAATTATACATATTGAGAAAATGGTTTATTACATTATTCTGGTTTAAATGTTACCGGGTCCATTATCGGTATTCGAAATAAATTGTTTTATCTTCTTATTTTTTTTAATGTCGCAAATCGTTGATTTAGGAACATGGAATTTTTCGGCAACCTGCCTAATAGTTTTTCCCTCATCAAGACTTTGTAAAATATCACACTTTTCCTTTAAGGTTAGTGTTTTATGTTTGCGTTTATTATTTAAAAACATGGCACTTGGAATGGAATTAGACAAACACGCTTGCGAAAGAATGAACCGAAACTGAAGTAATGATAGAGCGAGATAATGATAGAACATGCGAGTAAAAAACGGGAAACCCCCGAATTTTAATATTTATTCTTGCATAAAAAAAATTTATCCGGATTGTAGAGGTAAAAATTTTAAATTGTCCGAAATGTAGAAGCGTCCGAATTATTGGAGTGACCGGACTGGCGCATGTCCGGACTGTCGAAGTTGTACTGTATTTTGAAAATTTTAAAAATCAGCCCTACTTAGGAGTTGAAAAAATGCCAAAAATGAAGAATTTGAATATTACCAATTGATATAAAAACTATTAGCATGTGAATTATCTTAATATATTTTTTTTTTTGGAATTTTTACAATTATTTCTTTTATTCTCTATTTTTGGGGATGATTCCAGCCCCTGAGCGCACTTAAGGGTGGATTTTCTAATTCAACATGCTTATTTCAGTCATGAGAGTAAATCTTTCTTTGTATCAAGAATCATTCGATAGAAAAATTCACATGCTAATAGTTTTTATATTTATTGGTAACATTCAATTCTTCATTTTGGGCGTCTTTTCAACCCCTAATTAGGGGTGATTTTTGAAAATTTTCAAAAAACAAAGCTATGCTCATATTAATATTTTACCACGAGTAATTTGAGACCAAAAACATATTTGTATCTATTTTCTTTAGTTCTCTGCGAATTGTGAACAAACGGGCGATTTTTGCGGTCACTCTTTGTTTTTTGAGATATATAGTGCCAAATAAAGTTTATTTAAATCAAATTATAGTAGTTTTGCTATTTTTGCTGCTTTAAAAAGTTATTGGGATAATTTTTTTAATTCCATTTTAATAACGTACTTTTTTTATGAAGCAAACTAAAGTAACTTGATCTGAAGTATGACTTATTCATTTTCCGTACACCCTGTAGGTATATGTGATTGACTTTGGGGCAGTCAATTGTGTTTTTCTCAAAAGCATTGTACCTTTTTAAATTACATAAAATTTTACATTATAATATAAATATAGGACATACATCTTAAAAAAAATCTAACCTCAAAAAAACTATGCAACAAAGTACCACTACATACAACTAACAGGTAATGCCAACATATTTTACAGGCTCAAAAACTTTTCTGTATCAATTTTTTTATAGAATAGGACTAGAATTTGATTTAAAAAAATCATATTCAACTGTATCTCAAAAGTTCTTAATTTTTCATGTTCTACCTGACACTGAATTTATGGTACCTTTTCCAAAACACCCTGTATATGTTCATAGACATTAAATTGTATACAAGGTGTGCCGTTTAACACTCCCGCTACCAATATCTCCAAAATGAAGAAATGTATTTTTGTTAGTTCAAATCTTTCTGTATAGATGGCGTGGTGATGCTCAAAAATTTGTTGATTCCTGACACGTGGAAATGCGGTCCATCTGAAAGATCGTTAAATTTTGAGTAATTTTTGTAATTAAAGTTTTTCCCAATATTTACTTGTTTTCGGGACATGTCTGCTTCAATATGCAACGTAGGATGTAACAGGAAAATCTGTTATTTTATATAAATCACACTGAGACAAAATAATCTTTTAAAATATTGTTATAAAGGCTTTATTCACACCAGATACTAATTAACAAACAATAAATTATAAAAAAACAAATAATCAACTACAAAAAAGTGAAATTTTGGAACAACAATGTTAAAAATGTGATGTTCTGTATGGATTAATGTGAATTGTTAAATCGGGCTTTAGATCGCAGAGTAGTTATTATTAGTTATTAATGAATAACTTGCTTTTGAAGTTGGTTTTTAGAATACCTAAATGTTGGTTTCAAAGAGCATAAATAACAAAATCCATGTAATTCCTATTTAATTTTTATCTCTGTTTACATACATCTCTCTTTATACATTACATTTAAAAAATTTCAAATGAACTTTGAAATAATAAGTAATATAAATCGTAATATATTTCATTTTACATACGAATTCTCAAAATAAAGTTACTATTCAGTTTTATTAGGTTTTTTTTTATTAAAGTTTTTTTATAATCTCATCACTGCCATTATTTCTATAATGAGTTAAGACTTTTAGAAGTTATATCGTATATTTTAACGTTCTGTTTTATTCGTTATCAGACGGTTCTTGTTTAGTGATAAAATAAAATAACCGCTTTTACGAAATGAGTAAAGTAAGGAAGCATACCACTATTCGTTTGATAGAGCATATAATCTGTAATTAATCGATGTCATATCAGCTTGTCATTGAAGGTGCTTAGTCAATAAGGACATCGAAATATCTTAAGATGATTAGTTGTTATCGTTCTAATTTGTGTAAAAATATGATCCCTTCAATTTTGATTGACATTGTAAGGAGTAATTTATATATCTATTTCAAATAGAATGGCCGCCGGGGTCGCCAGATCTCAGTCTTGTTGATTTCTATTTACGGGATGATTTAGAACAAAAGTGTAGAAAACTCAATCAGAGTTTATTTTGGCAATTTTTTTAGGTCACAAGGGATGAAGCTGCGCAATATTCAAAGACAATAGGCGCTTCGTATATGGAGTGTTCCGCAATGGCAGATCAGGTTTGTATCTTTTATAATAGAAGTGCTGTGAATAGTTCAAATTGTTTGTTCAGCTTTGCGCTAAAAATTAATTTATTAATGTATAGTGATTTATTAGAGTAAACAAATTGGGGAATTTCATCATTTCCGCGAACTGTCGAATAAAAAGATTATAATTTTTTATGTTTATATGTAAAAAATTTTTTGTTTGAGTAAATATCGTATATGGTACATTATTGGAAATTATATCTGCAAAACTGCAAATTCTAGAAAAATATAGCATCTCTGCGGGATTGTAAGTAAAAACTCTAAAAAAAACTACAAGAATTAAAAATTTTCACAAACAAAAAAGTTATGGAGCATCATGGAAAACGGTCAAAATTGAAAAATATTCTGTATTTCTTAAATGGTTCAACATATTTGGATTTCGACATTAAACTTTTCTTGATAGAAACTCTCTCAGAAGTGTCGAATTTGGTCCACCCTGTACAATAACGGATTAATAGGTCTTTATCTTTTACGTACATTTTATTAAGCGATCAAAACTGTGACTAGAATGTAGTGGGCAAAACTTTCAACATTTTTATTAAGAGTGTATGTTTCTTACGATTAAAGGCAAATGATTTCCATGTGCGGTGCACCCAAAGGGGTCTCGCAAAATTATTTTTTATTTTCTATTTCTTTTTAGTTTTTATTGTTACAGTCATTTATCAGATCACATTATACAAATTTTTTTCATACAATCATTTTTGGCGTAAATCCGTTTTCTATCTTTTCATATTTTTTTCGACATATCTGCATGATTTCATGCGACACATTTTTCATTTTTTGATTTTTAATAATTTGTAGAAAAAAAACAACTATACAATCCACCCGCGATTACAAACGCGAAAAAAGTCACCTTTAAAATACAACGTCCAAATAAAGAAAAATGAGGCCGCCACAAGTACAACATGTATGTACACGAAGTTTTTCGAACAGTGGCAAAGACATGCTTATTTCAAAAATCGGGCCCAAGTCGAATTTTATGGGCTTAAAATTAAATAAAAAAATACACAGAACAAAAGTCTAAGTTTGTGTCGAGCGACGTATTGTTTATAATAAAAGAAAAAAAAAGTTCTTTTTTCAGTTTGTCGCTTATATCTCTAATCGACATGAGGTATACTTATCGATTTTGTTCCTGAGTAAATTTACAAGAATAGGCTTTTGCGAAAGCATTTTTGTTTACATTGCAAAATTAGCATTAAAAAAAAAGTGCAAAATTTTCAATCCGGATTGCAGGTATTTGTTGAGCACCCCAATAGTTAACTTTTCATGTAGTTTCACCCAATTTCAGTCAAATTTGTTAATTTTATTTAATTCTGAAAATTTTGCACATTTTTTTCTTATTGCTAATTTTGCAATGTAAAAAAAATTTTGCGAGCTTTCGCAAAATCCTACCCGTATAGCAAATTTCCTCAGGAACAAAGCCGATAAGTATACCTTATGTCGATTAGGGGCTTATTTTCGGAAATGTAAGCGAAAAACTGAAAAAACAGCAATTTTTTTTTTCATTTGTTATACACAATATGACGCTCGACCTCTACAAAAATACACAAATTTAGGTTTTTGTTCTGTGTATTTTTTACTTAATTTTAAGCCCATGAAATTGCACTTGGGCCTGATTTTGAAAAACCTAATTCGCCTGGACTATTTGTGTTATTCGTTAAGTCACTAGTCGCTATGATTGGTCGTTGTTGGCACTGCCAACTTAGCTATAACATAATTGCCAATGCTAATCGAGGATTTTTTGACTGTGTATCCAATGTGCTTCTGTTTCATAGTCTGTCAACTTGTGATATTTGCTAATACCGTCATTTTCGTAGACGTTCAACGTTTTGGGCATTGAATACTAGGCTTACTTAGACATTGCGGACTTGTATGTTCGTGTCTAAATACCACAGAGTACAATTTATTAAGCAATAACAATAATTTGATAACCAATCTTTTGAAAAAAATACGCAAAGAAAAGTTTTTCCGAGTTTGTTTCCGTTTGTTTGTTGTAAATTTCTTTAGATTTTGGTGGAAGTAATTCCAAATCAAACTTGAAAGTTTGACTTTTTAAACTAAGTTGATTTTTGTGAAAAAACTGCTAGACAAAACGTTGTACATGGCACGTGGGAGTGAAATGTCTTTATAGCATAGAAAATTTCTTATAGGCGCATGGGAATTTGCCACACTCGCGCAAGCGCTCATGCATCAAACATTTCTTGTTTATAGTGGCTTATTTCACTCGCTTGTAATATAACGTACTATTTTTTTAGGGTATTGGTTTGATATTTGAAAAGATCGCGTTGGGACTGCTGCGACTGTCGGGCCAAAAAACGAACCACACGCTGAAAGTGTACGACGACGATATCATGGCCACTTCGAGTGAACTGGAGGCGACAGATACTGCCAACGAAGAGACTGTTAACATTAGCATACACAGCATCGCTCACGGACGGACGGTAAAGTCTAAATGCTGCTAGCTGCCTCCTTTTGTATCATTGACTTTGTTACCCATTTATTGTAATTTAACTTTATGTAAATATTTTTTATATCCACATGTTTGCAATATTAAAATTTTATAACGAAAGGTCGTTTGTTTTCACTTGATTCGTTTTCTTACAACCAAACCGTCACGAGGCTCACGTTTCGTTTAGCGTTTGTTTTTCGGCTATATCTAACGAAATTTAAAACATTCTTATTCGAGCTGCGCCCTTCAATATATACAGGGTGTCCCACTAAGGACGTCGAGGTAACATACTAGGGAAAGTATAGACCCTAGACCAGGGATGCACATACCGCGGCCCGCTGTCGATGTTTATGCGGCCCGCCAACGAATTTTAAAAGTATTCTACTCGCCGCGCTCCGGTCCAAGCATATTATTACGAGACTAGAAATCTGTCATCAACTAAGTGAACAAAGTGGATGGTTCTCGATGTTTGGTAACTCGTATAAATACGACGCATCGCCGGCTACCGGGGCAGTTAAGTTTTGACTACGGATAAGCGAACGTTATACTGTTTGAGAACTGTAATCTGTGACGAGTAAATATTTCGTCGTTCGAACTTGGCTTTTACCGACTGTAACATATAATATTAATTTTGATATGGATAAACCAGGCCCCAGTAAGAAACGTAGTCGTAAGGTTGAAGATGAAAATCGACAGTTTCATGATATTTGGACCGAAAAATACTTTTTTATTTCATCGCATAACAAAATTGTCTGTT